TCAGCTAATTGGTTAAATTTATCCTAAGTATTTTATTGTTTTTGGTACTACTGTAGATAAAATTGCTTTCTTAATTTTTTTTTCCAGATAGTTTATGTTAGTGTATAGAAAAGCAACTGATCTTTGCATATAGATTTTGTATCCTGCAACTTTACTGAATTCATTTATTAGTTCTAATAATTTTTTGGTGGAGTCTCTAGGGTTTTCTTCTTTTTTTAAATACATCTTTATAGGAGTATAATTGCTTCACAACGTTGTGTTAGTTTCTGTTGTACAACAAAGTGAATCAGCCATATGCATACATATATCCCCATATCCCCTCCCTCTTGAGCCTCCCTCTCACCCTCCCCATCCCACCCCTCTAGGTCGTAGCAAAGCACTGAGCTGATCTCCTTGTGCTATGCTGCTGCTTCCCACTAGCTATCTATTTTACATTTGGTAGTGTATACATGTTGATGTTACTCATATGAATCATGTCATCTGCAAACAGAGACAATTTAACTTTTTCCTTTTCAATTTGTTTTTTGTTTGTTTGGTTGGTTTTTGTTTTGTTTTGTTTTTTGTTGTTATTCTTCCTTTCCAATTTGGATGCCATTTTTTTTCTTGCCTAATTACTCTAAGATTTCCAGTACTACATTGAATAGAAGTGGTGAGAATGGGCACCCTTGTCTTATTCCTGATCTTAAAGGAAAAGCTTTCAGCTCTTCACCATTGAGTATGATGTTGTGGTTTTGTCATATATGGCCTTTGTTATGGCACAGTCCTTCCATACCTAATTTGTTGAGAATTTTTATCACAAAAGGCTGTTGAATTTTGTGAAATGCTTTTTCTGAATCGATTTAGACTACCATATGGTTTTTATCCTTCATTCTGTTAATGTGGCATATCACATTTATTGATTTGTGTATGTTGAACCGAACCATCCTTGCATCTCAGGGGTAAATCTCACTTGATTATGGTGTATGATCCTTTTAATGTGCTATTAAATTTGGTTTGCTAGTATTTGTCGAGTATTTCTGCATCTAAGTGCATCAAGAACATTGGCCTGTAATTTTCTTTTCTCACAGTGTCCTTAACTTGCTTTGGTATGAGTTTAATGATGGCCTAGTAAAATTAGTTTGAGTGGACTCTCATCTTTTTTTTTTTTTTTTTTTTTTTTTGCGGTACGTGGGCCTCCCACTGTTGCGGCCTCTCCCGTTGCGGAGCACAGGCTCCGGACACGCAGGCTCAGCAGCCATGGCTCACGGGCCTAGCCGCTCCGCGGCATGTGGGATCTTCCCGGACTGGGGCACGAACCCGTGTCCCCTGCATCGGCAGGCGGACTCTCAACCACTGCGCCACCGGGGAAGCCCTCTCTCATCATTTTTAATAAGCACTCCCAGCTCTGTCTGATTCGAAAGCTAGTGAGTGCTCTTGGCAACTGCTTAACACAGTTCTCACTACTGATGATAAAAACGAAGCTATCACTTACTGAGTGTATATGATGTATTCCAGGCATTCAGCAAAACTCTTTGTGTACATTACCAGCATACCTCAGAGATATTACGGGTTCGGTTCCAGACCATCAAAATAAAGCAAATATTGGGAATTCCCTGGTGGTCCAGTGGTTAGGACTCCATTGTTTCACTGCCAAGGGCCTGGGTTCAATCCTTGGTCAGGGAACTAAGATCCCACAAGCCACGTGGTGTGGCCAAATAAATAAATAAAGCAAATATTGCAATAAACCAAGTCACACAAATGTTTTGTTTTCCCAGTACGTATAAAGGTAATGTTTACACTATACTGTAGTTATTAAGTGTGCGGTAGCATTATGTCTATGAAAACAATGTACATACCTTAATTAAAAAATAGTTTATTGCTAAAAAGTGCTAACCATCATCTGAGCCTTCAGTGAGTAGTAGAAACATCAAAGATCAGTGAGCACAGAACACCATAAAAATATAATAATAATGAAGAAGTTTGAAATATTGCAAGAATTACCAAAATATGACACAGAGACATGACGTGAGCAAATGCTGTTGGAAAAATGGTGCCGATAGACTTGCCTGACGCAGATTTGCCACAAACCTTCATTCGTAAAAAATGCAGTATCTTCAAAGCTCAGTAAAGCAAAGTACAACAAAATGAGGTCTGCCTGTATCTCACTTAAGTATATGAACGGCTTTGGAGGGTAGGTAACATTATTGTCTGAATTTTGCCAAGAAGGAAATTGAGGAAAGAAGGCTCAAAGGGGCTAATTGGTCCAAGGATATGCAGTCCTTAAGGGGCAGAGTCAAGATTTTGGCCAAGGTTTATCTGACTCCAATACCTCTGTTCTTAACCTTTATTTACATGGTGGCTACAATAACGGGTTATGGATTCTCAATTTTAATAGGACCTTTCAGTTCCCCCACCCTCTATCTTTTCCTTAATGACAGTATATTTTCCTATCTTTCTGGCACCTGAGGTTTGAAGTCAGCTGGTCTAATTATGATAATATTTCCTAAGATCACTGCTCTTTTTTGCCTTTCAGATGACAGTGTATCGTAAAATCAAATACTGATTGGTTGAATGGTGGTTAACAGGGAATGGGGGGAGAGGAATAGGGGAGTTGTTCAATGGGTATAAGGTTACAGTTACACAAGATGAGTAAGTTCCAGAGATCTTCTGTACAACATAGTGCCTGTGGTTAACAATGAGGTATCATGTGCTTAAAATCTGTTAAGAAGGTAGATCTCATGTTAGGTGCTCTTACCAAGAACCAAAACCAAAACCAAAACCAAAACAAAGGGACACAAGGAAACTTTTGGAGGCGATGGATATGTTTATTACCTTGATTTTGGTGATGGTACCATGAGTGTATACATTTGTCTAAACTTACCAAATGATATACATTAATTATGTGCAAATTTTTTGTATACCAGTTATACCTCAATAAAGCAGGAAAAATATTGATTGGCTACTTCATTTAAAAGTTAACAAATGGGGACCTACCTGGCAGTCCAGCGGCTCCACGCTCCCAATGCAGGGGGCCTGGGTTCGCTCCCTGGTCAGGGAACTAGATCCCACACACATGCCGCAACTAAAGAGCCCACATGCCATGCCACAACTAAGGATCCCGCGTGTCACAACTGAGAACCAGCACAGCCAAAATAAATGAATATTTTTTTAAAAAATTCAACAAATGTATTGAGTGTGTATAGGTACAGGATACCATGCTTGCTGTTCAGGGCAAACAAAGATGAATTAGACAGGGAAGTTTCCTTCAAGTTGCTTGTAAGTGAGGCACCCCATGTACTAGAACACAAGGACTTCTTTCAGAGAAAGTGATGAGGAGCTTCAGAAAAGGAGCTCATGCCTTCCTGGAAAGCATCTCCAAGAGCACCTCAGGCATGGGAAGTCATTAGAGCTGGGCCTTGAAGACTGGGAAAGACTGGACACTTAGAGAAAATGAGCATGAAGGTGCTGCAAGCAGAGGTGATAACATGAACATAGGCATGGAGAGTGGAATTCTTGGCAAGCACCAAAGGAGTGTTTGGCTCAAGAAAGGGGAAGCAATGAGAGATGTGGCTGGAAAAGCAATTTCTAATAAGACCAGGAAGTCTATTAGTTAATAAGCGGATGTATTGGAGGTGGAGATTAGAGGCTTAGAGAGGGAGTTAGTCCCATAGTGACATAAACAAATCCTGATGGCTTAGACTCTGTCAGGGTCGGCCAGGGTGGAAATGAGGAGCTAAAAACATTTAATAGGTAGAATGTATAGCATTTGGCAAGGACATGTTAGAAGTGAAAGAGAAGGTCACAGATGGTTCAAATTTTGAGTTTGAGTTGGGAAGGTATACAAAGGAAATACAGTAGGAGGAATGGGTGTCAAAGGCAAGATGATATTTTGGGGACAGGTTAAGAAATAATAGCCAGAAACCATTTTAATAATTAAAAGCACAAAAAAATGTTCTGAATCCTAAAACTGTACATGAATATCCTAGACAGGTGGATTACACATGTGGGCCCAAAGTAGCAATGTGCAGGGTCATTAAAACACAAATCACAGGCAGCATACCTTTGACCTAGCTAAGCTAACAGACTAGCTGTTAAAGACATTAAACATCCGATTAACAACATTTGACTGCCTTTTAGAATTCATCTCCACTCACCTCAGCTTCTCTTCTTAACCCACTATAATCTGACCTCAGGTCCCAGCACTTAACTGAAATTGCATGGCAAAAGTTTATCAATGATTTTCTCATTGCAAATCCAAAAAGCACTTAAAAATTATTTTTGTCAAAGTTGTATTTAGTTATAAAAGTCAAAGAGTTCTACACAGTTTATATTCTATTGATATATATTTAAAAAAAAAAAAGCAGTTCCCAACCCTGCATCTCCCTATTTTCAATTTTTATTTCACAAAGGCAACCACTGGACTTCCCTGGCCGTCCAGTGGTTAAGACCCCATGCTTCTGGGACTTCCCTGGTGGTACAGTGGTTAAGAATCTGCCTGCCAATGCAGGGGACACGGATTCGATCCCTGGTCTGGGAAGATCCCACATGCCACGGAGCAACTAAGCTCGTGCACCACAACTACTGAGCCTGCGCTCTAGGGCCCGTGAGCCACAACTACTGAAGCCTGCATGCCTAGAGCCCATGCTCCGCAACAAGAGAAGCCACCACAGTGAGAAGCCTGCGCACCGCAATGAAGAGTAGCCCCTGCTCACCGCAACTAGAGAGAGCCCATGCGCGGCAATGAAGACTCAACGCAGCCAAAAATGAAAAAAAAGAAAAAAGACTCCATGCTTCCAATGCAGGGGGCGCGGGTTCGATCTTTGGTCTGCCCCAAGGTGTGGGGAAAAAAAAAAAAAAGGCAACTATTTTCAATTCTTTTAGAACTCTCTTCTGGGTACATATTAAGATTATGCCTATTATTTCTTCATTTTTTTGGCTTTCTTACTGTGTTGGCTATCTCCCATTTGTCCTTTGGATCTACTCTGTACCCTTCTCCTTGCTCTCCGTTCAGAGAAACTCACCTGTATGGACCACATCAATGGGTTGATGAATGGGCCCTTTGACTTCCAGACGAGTTTGTTTTTCCCCAGCTGGGAGAACCTGGAGAGATCAGAGAGAGAGAGGAAAGACAGTGAGAGCAGAACATTTATTCCTCCTTGACCATCTAATCTAGCCGGCTGTGTCCTCAACAGGTCACTGCTTCTCTCAGGGAGGCCTTTTCTATGTGACTCTCATTCTAGACTGTGGTCCCCATGCACTCCACTCATCCCTGTGAGCCTAGGGTTGGTGACAGTGCAATTTCTTCTAAGCCCTGGGTGACTGCACTATCTCTTGGGGCTCCCCTACACCCATACCTTTGCAAATAAACCCTCCACAGATGACCCTATTTAGAGAGGACTACCACCCGTGTCCTATGGTGACGCTGACATGCTTACTATGCAAGATAAGGATTTAGCTTTTCTACTCCCACTTCCTTGCCCTACAGCACCTATACAGATAAACAAGCAAACACACTTCTTATTATGTTTGTGTCTCCCACAAATTCATATGCTTAGGCTCAACTCCAATGTGATAGTATCTGGAGATGAGGTTTGGGGGAGGTAAGTAGGATTAGATGAGATCATGAGGGTGGGGCCCTCATGATGGGATAAACACCGTTATAAGAAGAGACACCAGAGGGCTTTGTCTCTCCCACACCTGCAAAAAGAAGTGGGTATGTGGGGTTTCCTTGGTGGCGCAGTGGTTAAGAATCCGCCTGCCAATGCAGGGGACACGGGTTTGAGCCCTGGTCTGGGAAGATCCCATATGCCACGGAGCAACAAAAGCCCATGAGCCACAACTACGGAGCCCACATGCCGCAACTACTGAAGCCTGTGCGCCTAGAATCTGTGCTCTGCAACAAGAGAAACCATCGCGGTGAGAAGCCCACGCACCGCAACAAAGAGTAGCCCCTGCTCTCTGCAACTAGAGAAAAGCCCACACGCAGCAAGGAAGACCCAACACAGCCAATAAATAAATAAATATATATATTTTTTTTTAAAGAAGAGGTTATGTGAGCACAGAGCTAGATGGTCGCTGCATACAAGTCAAGAGAAGAGGCCTCAGAATGAAATCTACCTTGCTGACACCTTCATCTTGGACTTGCAGCTTCCAGAACTGTGGGAAATAAATTCCTATTATTTAAGCCATGCAATCTATGTATTTTGTTATGGCCCCTGAATTGACTAAGACCCTTCCCCTGGCGCCCATCTGCCTAGTTTAGATATATCATCATTTTTGGTTAGATAAGTGTTCTGTATTATTAGAATTCTGTAAATACTATTTACCTGAGACTTTTAAATTTATTATAATTTCTCCCTAATATAATTTATTACTAGAGTTAATAATTGCCTCAGTTGTTTGCTTAGTTTTCAATCACTAGTCCATTCCCAAACTCCCTCCCGTAAGCGTTAACTCTCCTTTAATATTTCAAATACATCAGAAAAATTCATTAAGTCCACCTCTTTGTTAGAAGCCCACCTCCCAGAACCTTCCATTGCTTTGCTCCCCCGCAGACTAGCTGCTCTCTAGACCTGCCGTCCTGTGACTTCCCACTTCCTGGATCTCTTGGTTTATCCCTTCAGTTTGATGGAGTGCATCTTCCAGTTTCTTCCTGATATGATATACGGGACAGAAATATTTTACGACGTTCATGTCTGAAAAGGTTATAATCTACCCTCACTCTAGACTGCTGGATATAGAATTCTAGAATTCTAGATTGGAAATAACTTCCCTCAGAATTTTGAAGTTATTTCTCTGTTGACTTCTAGTCTCCAGCATTGCTGTTGAGAGTCTGAAACCATTCTTATGGGATTATTTTTATTGAACTCCCCTTGACAACCATTGACTTTGATGCTGGGAACTTTCAGAATCTGTTCTTGGTTCCTAGTGATCTGAAATGTCATGATGACAGGCTCTGGAGTGGGTCCTCTTTTTATCTAGTATTCTGAGCCCTCAATGAACTCTTGATCTGGGAACAAATGACCTTCACTTTGGGGAAATTTCCTTCAGATGTTTTTTTTTAAATTAATTAATTAATTTTTGGCCGTGTTGGGTCTTTGTTGCTGCGTGCGGGCTTTCTCTAGTTGCGGCGAGTGGGGGCTACTCTTTGTTGTCATGCTTCGGCTTCTCATTGGGGTGGCTTCTCTTGTTGCGGAGCACGGGCTCTAGGTGCGTGGGCTTCAGTAGCTGTGGTTCATGGGCTCAGTAGTTGTGGCTCGTGGGCTCTAGACACACAGGCTTCAGTAGCTGTGGCACACGGGCTCAGTAGTTGTGGCTCGCGGGTTCTAGAGCACAGGCTCAGTAGTTGCGGCACATGGGCTTAGTTGCTCCGCAGCATGTGGATCTTCCCGGACCACGGCTCGAACCCGTGTCCCCTGCGTTGGCAGGCGGAGCAGATTCTTAACCACTGTGCCACCAGGGAAGTCCCTCCTTCAGATATTTGACAATATTCTCCCTTACATTTTCCAAACTACTTTATCTTCTTTAACTCTCTTGCACCTCCTGACCTGATTCTATAATTTTGTCACTTGTCTTCTATTTTGTTATATTATCTACCATATAGATATGATAAAGTTTTTTCTTGGTGTTATCTTCCAATCTTTTTGCTCCATTTCTCACTTTGTCATACTTTAAATTTTCAAGTAAGATTTTTTGTTTTCTGTTTTTATTTTTAATTGTTTTCAATTTAAAAAATTTTTTGGCTGCACCGCGTGGCATGTGGGATCTTAGTTCCCTGACCAGGGCTCAAACCTGTGCCCCCTGCCTTGGAAGCTTATTAGAGTCTTAACCACTGGACTTCCAGGGAAGTCCCTTTTGTTTTCTGAATGTTCCTACTTTTATAGACTCCTATCTTTCCATAGATGCAGTATCGCTTCTTATTTTGCAAAGATGTTAATGTTATACATTTTCAAAAGTTTTATTTTGCTCCCTGTGTCCTGAGTTCCTTTTTGTTTGTTTTTTTAAGACTATTTTGGTTCCGTCTTTCCATCTTGAAGGCTTTCTTCAGCTGACTAGTGAATTTAGGCTCTTAGCTCATATTTTGTCTTTAAGAATGAGACAACAAAAAGCTAGAAACTGTGACTGGCAGAACTGGTTAATTGGTGGCCTGGTTAATTACGGGGTGGCCTGGCTGCGCTCTTTTATTGGGTTCTCAGAGAGGAATCCTCCAATACTATGGTTAACAGAACGTTGTCGAGGCAGAGCAGGAGAGTGATAAGGGATCCTTGAGTCAGTCTGTGGCATTCACTTAATCTCCTTGTTTGTGTTGTGCTTCCCTTGCCCTCAGGTGCTCCTGGAGCCCCCAAGCCTAGTGTCTCTCCACTAGTAAACTTCTAGATTTCTCCTGGGGTGAGGGAGTGGCCATCTCCCAGCTGCATGGGATCTGGGTTTACAACTGCTCCATTAAAAATTTTCACCTGGATCTTCTGTTTTCAGCTCAGCTCTATCTCTACCTTCAGAGGTACCTGATGCCTCCAATTCCTATACTTTTTTGAGGCTGTTACTAAAATGAAGCTTCTAGGTTGTTCCATTCCAGTTTAGTTTCCACCTCCCTCTGATCAGTCAGGTTAGTTACCACTCCTCTACCTGCTTCCCGCTTGTATTACTGTGTTGATGTCATCTATTCTCCCATTAACTCTGTGCTTTCTTCACCCACTTACAGTCAACGCATCGTTTCTGATGAGTACTATCTTGTCCTTAATTTGCTTGATTTTGCTGCTGTATTTGAAACTGTAGACCACTCATTCTAGAAACTGTATCATCCTTTGGCTTCTGTGGCTACCTGTTTTTTGTTTTGTTTTCCTTTTGCCACATCATCTTACCTTCTTCTCTTGGTTCTTTCTTCTTCCACTGCTTATCCCTTAACTCTTGTTGTTTCCCAGGTCTCTGTCCTCTTACATTTTCATTTACACATTTTCTATCCAGTGCATGGATTTAACCACTTCCTTAATGCTGCTGACTCCCAAATCTATATCTGTGGTCCCAGACCCACATAAAGCTCAGAAACAAGACAAAGGAAACAAGGACCCTGTTTCCCTTTATCTTAATCCCAAGGAAAAACAAACACCCTGGAGCCAAAACAGGCTTCCTTTTAGGTAAAGAAAATAGAAGGAGTGAAGGGAGGCATTCAATGTAAGAAACAAAGTAGGAGCTGTACTAGTCATGATATGGGAGCTTTTGCCTAAATCACAGTGACTCAACACAAAAAAAGTTTACCTGTCACGCAAAATCTGCTGTGGATTGGGGCAACTCTCCAGGGCAGCTGTCCTCCTATATTGGCTCACTACTTCCCACCTCTTCAATTTCATGGAACTTCCATTTCAATACATGTTGTGAATCTCACCATGCTAGGAGAGGACAGAGCTGCACAGCTGAGCACAGGCAATTAAGTGCCTGCATCTAGAGGTGAAAATGTGTCAGTCAGGTTTCCATTCATTGGCCAAAGCAAGTCACATGGCCACTCCCCACTTCAAGGGGACAAGGAAGAACAATCCTCTCGCACCCTGAGAGTCGATTCTGTTGAACAGTAGTAACTGACAGCAGTGAAAATATTTGGTCTAAAATAGAAAATTTGGCCTTAAACAAAATATCTTTTTATTTTTATACTTCCAGTCCTAGCTTGGTGGCTGGTACAGAGGGGGGAGGGGTCAATATTATTTGAATTTAGGTATGTGTTAGAAGATGACTTAATAAGTCTATTTGAAAGGGTGTTCAGAAAAGTCTGAGTTGATGCCTTATTTTCCTTCAAAAACAGGAACATTCAAGAATCCTTCCGCTGATCTTGCTGCTGGGCTCAAAGTTGGAGTAATTTTTCAAAAATAGTTCTTGGGGCTTCTAAATACTTGGAAACCTCATTAAGAATTCAAGTTTAAAGTCTGAAGAGAAGGCATTTCATAGCCCTGTTGTTTACATTTACCTTGGTCAACATCCCTACTCAGACTCAAACACAACAGGCAATCTGGAAGGGGGAAAAGTTACAAAATATTGCCTTGAGTCAGGCAGGGGTGTGTGCATGTATGTGTGTGTGTGTGTGTGTGTGTGTGTGTGTGTGTGTGTGTTGA